AGAAGCATACAGCGATCCCATGGCGTCACGGACCTGGCACATCCCGGTGACCGCGCACCGCGGCGTGCTGTGGCAGCAGCCATCCCATGGCGTTACGGACGTCGCACATCCCGGTGACCGCGCACCGCGGCGTGCTGTGGCAGCAGCCATCCCATGGCGTTACGGACGTCGCACATCCCAGTGACAGTGCATCTTCGTGCTGTGGCCGGCGCAGCGACCGATCCACATTGAGGATAAGAAATTGGGCTAACATGCCATCACACCCATTTTTAGCTTGCATTCCAAGTCATTGTTACAATGGTGTCACAAGTGACAGGTCGACGTGTGCTACACATATATGTGAGTTGCGTACTTTCCAAACAATCTGCCCAACGCCTCGCTCTCAGAGGATCGCGGCAAAACCAGCGCGTGTCGAGCTCCTGGTCTCCGTCACGTCAGCGCTCGCGACTGGAAGCGGCTCTGAAACACCTGCCGGCAGCCCGGCCCGGCTCTCAGCGTCGTAGACCAGCCACTGAATCATCAGAGGCTCAAAGGGCCGAGCGCCGCCTGCGCGCTCCGTACTCAGCCCCGTCCGGCAGGCAGCTGGTCTGCACCTCGTGCCGCCAGGCCTCGTTCATGCGGACGCCCTGCCAGAAGCGCACGCGCTCATCGAACAGCCGCTCCCCGACCGAGGGCTCCGCATTGAGCCGCATGTGGCGCTGGCTGTGCTCGGTGAAGACAGGCCAGTCGGGCGTCGGCAGGACGGTTGAGCTGGGCCGACCGGTGCGAGCGAAGCTCGTCCACAGGCTCATCATGAAGCGGATCATGGTGTAGGTCGGCGAGTCGCCTGGGTACGCTGTCTGCCTTGCGTTACTGAACAGGTACACAAAGACATCGCCGTGCGTGGGACCCATGTACGGTGCATCAATTCCAAGCACGTCGGCGGCGGAGAGGCGACCAGGTCCTCTGTAATCCAGCACGTATTTGTAGACCGGCGCGTGGAGTGACGCGAGGCGCACCTCCTCTGACATGGGAGCAACAAACAGTCGGTCTGCTATAGCTCGAACTAACGGCAGAGGGTTGGTATGGCTGAGTGTGGCATTGCCGACGTAGAAGTCAATCACTTTGGCGATCTCCACGTTTGAGTCCGATCCACAGTCCAGCGGAATGGCCCCGGACTCGTTGATAAAGCCATTTAGGATGCCCCATTGAATGGGATTTCTTGAAAACACACCTTCCGCCACTGATTTGTTTCGGAGAAAAAAACGAGCATACCGTGCTCCTTCCTCTTCCGCAATGCCGTTCATCCATGGAACCAGGTTGAATTCCCCATTCTTGATGAGATAACGCGGATCCTTTGGCAGCAGCGGCGATTCCAATTCGTGGTCCACTCGTGGATGAAAAAGCAATCCTTGCAGCCTTACTTTCTTTTTGGCCTCCATGAGATCCTCAGAGGGGGCGTTCCTTACGCATTCAACCATGATGGAAACATCGTCGGCAGAGCAGTTGAGCTGCTCTGCAAACTTATGAGTGAAATCCTTCGCCTTGCCGCCTGCTGCGAAACTCGTCAACGCGGTACCCGACTGGCTGATGGCGCGGTGGAACAGGCCTTTCGCCAGGGGGCTCAGCACCAAAAGCGAGACACTGGCTCCTCCCGCTGACGTGCCGAAAACGGTCACCGTAGCGGGGTCTCCGCCTAATCTGGCGATATTATCCCGGACCCACTGCAGCAGCATCACCTGGTCCAGCAGACCGTAGTTGCCGGGAGCGTTCTTATCGTGTGTCGTGAAGAATCCAAACGGTCCCAGTCGGTAGTTGAAGGTCACCAGCACCACAGCCTCGTCCATGAAATAGTTCGGCCCGAATATCTCCTCGTCTCCGCTGCCCTCCGTGAAACTACCGCCGTGGATGAAGACCATGACTGGCAAACCGCCAACGGCTCTCCCGCCAACGGCTTTCTTCAGCGCCGGCAGCTGCGGCGTGTACACGTTGGCGAACAAGCAGTCTTCGTCGCCCTCCAGACTGTAGTTCTTCAGCGAATTGTACTGCAGACACGTGCTGCCGTGCTTGAGGCCGTCCAGCACGTCCGCCCAGCCCGGGTGGCGTTGCGGCGGCTGAAAGCGGAGTGGCCCGAGCGGCGCGCGCGCGTACGGGATCCCCTTGAAGCCGAAGAAGAGGCCGCCGGCGGCGCTGCGCCGCGCCACGCCCCTGACGATGCCCTCTCGCGTGGCGACGAGCGGGCGGGACTGCACGTCGGGGTAGCCGGCCGCTGCGGTCAGCAGCAGCGTCAGACTCAGCAGCACCGCCGGCGCACTCCGGAGCAGGACGGCCATCGTCGCTGTGCGGAGGACGACAGTGCCGAGCGGGAGAGGGACGTGTGTGCTCGCTCTCAGCGGGGCCGTGGCACTGACGAGGGCCGGCCGAAGTCTCGGATTAACCCCGTGGGCGGATTAACTACAAAGAAGGCAATAAACACGCCAGCTCTGGACTGACGTCCGCCATGGGTCGCAGGGGCGTGCAAATTGCACGACTTCATCTCTGTATGTTGGCGGCTCAGTTGCAAGATGGATGGAACATGCGCTCGTGATATTAGATTTGTTCTCATCGGAGGAGCTCGGTGTTAATGTAGGACATTTCGGAGCGTGCGCTGCAGTCCACCTCCCAACGATGGTGTCCGTGCGCCATGCTTCATCCGCCTCTGCTTGCATTCGCCGCCGCCGACATGACAAGTGACCTTTTCTGGGCATGTGCCAGTCTTGCAGATGTACGCGTCTAGCACTGCCAAAGGCTTACGAGAGAGTGGAAAACCACAATCAGAGAGAAGCACGATCACCTTCAATTACGAGACAAGCCGAAGTGTTAAGGAGATAACCGTATAATAACCGTATAACAGTTGCAGTGGCATCACACACATGTATCTACCTTGGCACCTTAGTTAGGTGCAGTATGTTTATGCAGACTAGGATGATACGGTATCAAAAGGAAAGGCGATTCTCATCAGCAATGCCATTAATGTAAATGATGTTCAAAAGTGGAAAAAATCCAACGGACACATTTTATTTACTGAAAGGTGCACTGAGTGGTCTTCTAACTCCTAACTATCCGTTGGCTCTTTTGGATAGCATGGACCGGCATCGTGATTTTAAGAAGAGTTAACAAGCTCTAAAAACTGTTTCAAAGCTACCTATTTTAGGTCATGTGCTTGTTTTGAATGTTGTTCGGCAACCAGCAGGCTTATGAACCTAGACCAGTAAGTGGATCGGGATTGTTAGACGATTTCATTTTTATATAACGCCTAAATCTATGACGTAATCCATTGACTTCCATAAGTGGGCTGCTGTAAATCATTCATGTGGTGTACTGAAGTCCACTATGTTTTACAGTTTCGGTACATGTAGGGTGTGTTATCATTATGCAAACGCAGTTGTTCGCACAATAACTTAGAGCTTCTGTATCTTATGTAAATGTATTTTGCTGTTACGCTTGTGGTCGCGAGTGGACTGAAATGCTTTATCTAGCATGATATTTGTCATTATATTTTGTATTGCATTCCTCGCCTTTTTTTACATGTGATGTCTTTAGCGTACATGTTGCTGCGCCGGCATTTTAACATCAGTGAAAGTTTTGCCTGGGTTGTGTGCCCGGTGTCAACGTTCGCTCAGTTCCCAGTCAACTATTTGTAAAAATGTGTGTTAGTCTTCTTGTGCTACTAATTTATATGTGAGAATGCTGAAAACATCGCTTTGTTTGCGCTATGCAGGAGTTTTGTGTTGTGCTGACCTTTTTTTGAAAACCTAGCTACTGGCAAATGTACAATCAGCATCTGCTATCCTAGGACCCGTGGTGACACCCGTAGTTTTTAGGACTTGTACACGTGCCGTTTGCCCGCGCCCACAATTTCCCCAGCTTGTGAACCCAACCTTCCCAGCTGGTGTGAGTACTCGCCGGTCTGCGCAGCCCATGATGACCTTTAGCAATGACCCATGGTGTTGAAAGGCGGCTTGCAGATCAGCTTGCGCGCCACTGCTCGATTATTTTTGTTTAATGTTAATGGGAGAACATTGAAAATGGCAGTGCTTTAACGAATATAAATTATACTTCCACGTCGAATGAAATGGAACGTTGTTTACCTCTGGCTGGGAGGCAAGTTCGCGTGATGCAAATTGTGCTTCGAACACTCATCTGTTTGGCCGCTTATTTTGCCGGTAATGCTTAAATTGGCTCTGAGCCGCGGCTCAGAACAGGAGTTTTAATATTTTAATCGTTTTCCATTGCCCGATGTGTTGTGAACACGCCCAGCCTTCACAAAGGCACAGCATGCCGCCCCTGCCGTGTCGCGCCGCGGCCTCGGCCGCGCGGTGGAATGCGACATATCGCCGCGGGCGCTGACCACCGTCCCGAGGCGGACCGTACGGGACGCATGATAGGTGCGTGTGTGTAAGCTGACTTATAAGTGGTAGCTCACCTGAACTAAATGTTATGTCGTGCCTGCCTGGTATAGCAGGGGCAGTACGCCACTGGACTCAGTCCATTACAGATCGCCGCGTCACTACACGTCTCTTTCTAACCGAGCTGAGCCGTACCGCTGGACGAAGACATCACACGATGTATGCGACTACATCTCTCCAAAAGGTTAAAATAGCTTAATTGTAACGCTTGCCGTCGCGTCTAATCTCATCGTGTGCATTTCACAGTTCTACTATGTGCTATGCAAGGGTTGTAAGCTAGAGGATACCCTGAAATTTGTGATAACAAGCTTACGATGAGTGATTTCAGTATCCTATGTTTTTTTAAGATCTAAACCCTAATTTTCAAGATTTCAATCCCCGTTTTCAGAATTCGGGCTTTGCAAGATCCGAAGATGTTTGAATCTTTTCAAAACATGCCCATCAGATAAATACCGTCTCCAGTGTGACATCCGTGGCGTCGTGTGAACACTGGTGCAGCTGGCTCATATTCGCACTCGCGCTCGTCTCCCAGTGTGACATCCGGGGCGTCGTGTGAACACCGGCGCAGCTGGCTCAATCGCACTCACGCTCGTCTCCCAGTGTGACATCCGTGGCGTCGTGTGAACACCGGTGCAGCTGGCTCATATCGCACTCGCGCTCGTCTCCCAGTGTGACATCCGGGGCGTTGTGTGAACACCGGTGCAGCTGGTTCATATCGCACTCGCGCTCGTCTCCCAGTGTGACATCCGTGGCGTCGTGTGAACACCGGTGCAGCTGGCTCATATCGCACTCGCGCTCGTCTCGCTCGGGGTACATCTCATTGCTGTGATCAGAAGCCAGAAGTTTGAGCAGTAAGAATAGACGAAAAAAATTCGTTCCATTGCGGAAGTACTTGGCTCCTTAACAAACTGACTCGCCCTATTTCATAACGCCGACCGAAAGTATGGGGGTGGGGGGACTTACGCGACCATTCCATTGTTAATTCAAAACAAAGTTTTCAAACTAAGTTCTATGTTTTGAGTTTTACTAACTGCCTTACAAACAATTTGTACTCCAGCCTGTTTCTAGCTTTTCGCGAAAAAGCTAGTAAGTATGGTCTTAACGAGATCACGCTACTAAAAACGCCATTGGAGATAGAATATACTGTTGTCATGTATATATAATTCACCAGCGATATTCCATGGAAAGAGCCCTGATTCCTAAATATCCCTCTATTTTTCCGTTGTGTATGGCAATATTTATGACCCAGTGTCACGTGGCTATCATGAAACACACACATGCACACACACACACACATACACACACACACACACACACACACACACACACACACACACACGCACACACACACACACACACACACACACACACACACACACACACACACACACACACACACACACACACACACACACACACACACACACACACACACACACACACATTGTGTTGCTTCTTTAATTATGAGCGCATGGTTAGGTAGTTTGTGTGTTCTGAGCATATATGTGTGATGTAGGCCTCCGTTAATGTAACAGTATCGGCCCCGCTGCGAGCGTTCGGTAGGATTCGTCGTTTGCCTTCCGTCCTCTCGCCACATGTGGGTCGCCGTGCAGTGTTCCTGAAAACTGTCGGCACTCGGAAACCAAACATGCCAGAAAATCGTTTTTGGGTGTCAAAACAAGTATAACGAGCTATCCATGGACTACGAAAAATTGAGGCGTTATTGCAAGATACGCTGGAGAGAAATCCTCGGAAAACCTTACTGGGTAGCATCTACCCCCTCACTGTATGAGACAAGGATTAAGGAAAAAGGACGCACACCCACCAAAGCGCAAAGATAAGTATCCCTGAACCGTCTAATCGCCAAAACGCCTAGAACCAAACCACCCCCACCAAGCTAAACGCTCCGAAGTCAATGAAAAATTGGTAAGAAATAAAACTCCAAAGGAAAATAATAACTATTTTTGTAGTTTATTCAGTTAGCAAAAAAGATAAGTCAATTAACGTATCAACCGCTTAATGGGTTCATGTTCACCTCTGCTTTCACGCATCCGTTCTCAAGTCCCCTCTGGTCGTTCTTGCTACCTGGCATTACACTGCGCTGAGCTTTCAGCCTTTTCCCGTGGCGACAAATTTAACCCATTTAGATCAAGGCCATACACTTAAGCAAAGCACTTCTGTCACGCCAGAAATCAGAGACTCCCGTGCATTATGCAGAGATACATATCGCTGGCCTGAAATACGGTTGTTCAGTTTTTCCTTGGTAGAACGCACGTCACATAATCTATTAGCATGCACACATGCAGATACTCACACGAATACACACGCTTAAATCATACACAGTAATCATGCATATTTTACTACAACGGAGATGCGCTATTTACGTAAATTTCACGCTAAGATATTGAAAATCCACCCGTCGGAAAAATGGAAAGGAAATGATGCTCATTAGAAGTACACTGAGAGACTTAGGACGCATTTTCCGGACATAGAATTGGGATAGCGTAAGAGCGCCTTCAAAATTGTTTAAAGGGTGTCTTTAATAGCGTTACCCAGTTTTTAGTTCTCAATGCGTCGCGCACAAGTCTCCTTGAAGCGCCGTCGCATTGGAAAATGTTAATACCTCAACTATTAGTTTTGTGCATACAGTGTAAAAGTGCTAACCACAAGGCCTAAGCAAGCTTTTCAATGTAATTTTGTTGTGTAGCAGGATAGGCTGAAATGTCAAATTTGGGTTAATGGGCAGGGCATGCTTTCGGAGGCGCAAGCGGCAGCTACAGTTTGTATTGCGACGGTAAATATTTTAATTGATTCATGTTACCAAAAACATCTGACAGGCAAAAGTACAGTCTACTTATTTATTTAATACGCGTCATCAGCTCACTCCGCTCAGAATGTGGTTGTTTTAGAGCCCGTGCGATGGAAATAAAACACTGTAGGTCAGGGAGGCTCGCGCAAACGCGTGCACACGCAGGCATACATACGCAAAACACACTCTCACATTCGCTAGTCGTTTGAAGTAGGCGTCGCTATCTGTTATTGATCCGCTGCTGCATGATAAAACCACGCAACTCGCGTTTAAATTGTGGAAGGCTCAGGTCGCGATTGCTCTGCGGTAGTGCGTTGTAGGCGGTCACGGTGGTGAGAACAAAACGCCGCCTTCCCCATTCGGATCTGATCACCGGCACATGTAACACATCATCCTGCCCCTTTGTGAGATGGTGAACATGGCGTCTATGGATAAGGTGATTAGATAGTGACTCCGGCTGGGACCTTTCCAGGATGCGTTTCAGAAGTGTCAGTGTATGATACAAGAACATGTTGTCAGCAGACATCCACTCGGGATCTCGTAATACATCACTCACATGATCATATTTCCGACGCCCAGAGATGACTAGTGCTGCGAAGTTTAGCAGCTGTAATGAGTGTGGGCTGAGGCAAACTGTGCCGGGTGTGGCTGAGGCCGATAAGAACGCCAGTGCGTCGCCGCACGACGTCACCAGTGTGCGCAGTGAACGTCATCCGCTAGTAAAATGCAACACCCAGGTTTCGAACTGAAGTACAGCTGTCTACAGTGGCGCCCATAAATTTGATGCTAGCCGGTGGCAGGTTCCGAAGACTTTGACGCGTGCCGAGGACAATGGACTGTGCTTTTTTGTGTGTGTTAATTTTCATTTCGTTATTGCCAAACCATTTGGACAGGTGTGAAAGATGTTGCTCCATAGATGTGATCAGCGTACCAATGTCACCGGGCCTCCCACTCACTAAAACCTGCGTGTCGTCGGCGTACTGCACAATACATGCGTCGTGAACATACAGGGGCATATCATTAGGATAAATGCTGTACAGCAGCAGGCCGAGCGCTGAGCCCTGGTAGGTTCCGATCGGGCTGTACAAAGCCACGGACAGAGAGGAAGCGCCACCTGGGTTCTGGACGAGGACCTGCTGAAAGTGGTTTTGGAGGTAGCTAGCAAACCAACGTACATCAACATTGTGCAGCGGGAGTTTCTAGTGAGTCCATCATGTGGGATAGCATCAAAGCATTTGGATGAGTCCAGTGGGCATAACAAGGTGATTTCCCTTTGATCCAGGGCCTCATAAACTTTGTCGGTTACGGTGAGAAGCGCTGTGTCAGTGGAGTGATATGATCTATAACCATGTTGACTAGACGAGAACAGGTGGTGAGAGGTATAATATGCAAACAGGTGCTCGTAAAATTCACGTTCGTTTACCTTTGCGATAGTCGGTAAAATTGAGATAGGCCTGTAAGTAGAAACATCAGTAGATTTTGACATCTTTTGGATAGGATGTACTATTGTCAGTTTCCACGAGTCGGGAGCTACATGTGCTGTCAGGCCGGAATTTACAATATGGGCGATCACGGGACAAATAGCGTATATACACAGTTTGAAAAACCGGATACACAATCCGTCTGCACCGCACGATGTACTGTTATGCATGCGGGCTATGACGCGTCGCAGTTGCTTTCCAGACGCGTTCCAGGTATCGCCCGTGTAACGGGCGATACCTGGAGCCGGCCGTTGGCCACGCGCGGCAGGCGTGCCGCCAGCTCCGGCCCCAAGGAGTCCACCTGGCGGGCGGTCGAGTTACCAATTACCGGTTACCTACCGGTTACACCGTTAGCACCGGTTAATGTCGTCAACGTCCGCATCAGGTTTAGACCTGGTCGGCTGCTTAGATGAGACGACAGGCTGCACACTGCGCCACATCGAGCTCGGTCCACCCTCTCGTACACGCCTGTCAATCTCCTCCCGTGTGTCACTATGCACTGCCGACCTGACTTGCCGGTTTTGGTACTTATACGTCTCGCGGTCATAATCACGGAGTGCAGCACGCCGCCGGGTCATCAGGTCTTTAGTAGCTTCCGTGCCAGGTGGTGCTGTACGATTGCGCACTTTTGAACGTCTCAGCGGTGCTAAAGCATCAACGATAGGACGAGTCACTGTAAGGAAATAGTCGCACTGGTCTCCTGGATCGACACTGCCGTACACTGGACCCCAGTCCACACTTTGGAGACGTCGATTCGCCTCCGTCAAGTCAAGTTTGCGCCAGCATCTACCGTCAGTGCGCACTGCGCAGGTCGGTAGTCCGGTAGCGGCAACAGAGCACGTGACCAGTCATGGGGACTATAGTCACAGTGCGGCGTGCCGGCGCGCTCAACACCACCGTTTGCACAAATACAATCGATGGTGGAGTTAGATGACCAGAACGTGTGCCCGCTGATATGCTGCTGCAGAGAGTATGCAGTGAGGAACTCTCTGAACCTGCTGGCCGCGGTGTTCTCGTTGCTGCTGCAGATGGTGATGTTGATGTCACCGGGTATGATGATGGGTCCACTGTGACGTGTGAGGATGTCCTGGAGTTGCTGCTCCAGCTCACCGAGGTCCGCAGTGACTCGTGCCTGCGTCTGTGTCGGGGGCCGGCACAGTGAGCACACCATCACTTTTCGAGAGCCAGCGTGGATCTGGACCCACAGCGACTCCAGTTCGGAGCCTGCTGTGACCTGATCAGGTCTGTTCACCACAGTCGCCTCCAGTGACTCTTTCACTAGTACAGCCACGCCACCATACCCTTTGTTATCAGGTCTGTCTCTCATCTCTCAGCCCGTGCCCCCAGTCGGGCGGGGAACTTCTGAGATTAGTATTGTCAGGAACCGCAGGATCAATCTTCTTATCAAAATTTTTTGATCGATAAAGGCATACATTTGACAAAAACAAGAAATCACCAGAAGGCCTGCTTCACCGGATCTCCAAAGCCACGCTAGATAAATCCACGAACCTTTTGGATATTCTGAAATGTTCACGCGGAAAAAGCACGCAGTCATCCCATGATGCCACGGAAGTCTCACATCCCGGCGACGGCACCCCTCAGCGTGCTGTGGCAGCAGCCACCCCATAGTGTCACGGACGTCGCACATCCCAGCGACGGCACCCCTCAGCGTGCTGTGGGAGCAGCCATCCCATGGTGTCACGGACGTCGCACATCCCAGCGACGGCACCCCTCAGCGTGCTGTGGCAGCAGCCACCCCATAGTGTCACGGACGTCGCACATCCCAGCGACGGCACCCCTCAGCGTGCTGTGGCAGCAGCCATCCCATGGTGTCACGGACGTCGCACATCCCAGCGACGGCACCCCTCAGCGTGCTGTGGCAGCAGCCACCCCATAGTGTCACGGACGTCGCACATCCCAGCGACGGCACCCCTCAGCGTGCTGTGGCAGCAGCCACCCCATGGTGTCACGGACGTCGCACATCCCAGCGACGGTACACCTCAGCGTGCTGTGGCAGCAGCCATCCCATGGTGTCACGGACGTCGCGCATCCCGGTGACGGCACCACTCAGCGTGCTGTGGCAGCAGCCACCCCATGGTGTCACGGACGTCGCGCATCCCGGTGACGGCACCACTCAGCGTGCTGTGGCAGCAGCCACCCCATGGTGTCACGGACGTCGCACATCCCGATGATGGCACACCTCAGCGTGCTGTGGTAGCAGCCACCCCATGGTGTCACGGACGTCGCACATCCCGGTGACGGCACCACTCAGCGTGCTGTGGCAGCAGCCACCCCATGGTGTCACGGACGTCGCGCATCCCGGTGACGGCACCACTCAGCGTGCTGTGGCAGCAGCCACCCCATGGTGTCACGGACGTCGCGCATCCCGATGACGGCACATCTCAGCGTGCTGTGGCAGGGCCAGCGATTGATCTGCATTATAAATAACTAATCGGAGTAAGATGCTCATGTACCCATTCATAGCTTTCATTCCGAGTCATTGTTCCAATGGTGCCACAATCGACAGTTCGACGTGTGCTCCACATATACGTGGCAGACGTACTTTCTAACAATCACTTCACGCCTCCCACTTAAAAGATCGCGGCGAAACCAGGGCGTGCCGGGCTCCTGGTCTCCGTCACGTCAGCGCTCGCGACTGGAAGCGGCTCTGAAACACCTGCCGCCAGCCCGGCTCGGCTCTCAGCGTCGTACACCAGCCACTGAATCATCAAAGGCTCAAGGGGCCGAGCGCCGCCTGCGCGCTCCGTACTCAGCCCCGTTCGGCAGGCAGCTGGTCTGCACCTCGTGCCGCCAGGCCTCGTTTATGCGGACGCTCTGCCAGAAGCGCACGCGCTCATCGAACAGCCGCTCCCCGACTGAGGGCTCCGCATCGAGTCGCATGTGGCGCTGGCTGTGCTCGGTGAAGACAGGCCAGTCGGGCGTCGGCAGGACGGTTGAGCTGGGCCGACCGGTGCGAGCGAAGCTCGTCCACAGGCTCACCATGAAGCGGATCATGGTGTACGTCGGCGAGTCGGCTGGGTACGCTGCCTGCTTTGCGTTGCTGAACAGGTACACCAAGTCATCGCCGTGCGAGGGATCCATGATCGGTGCATCAATTCCAAACAGCTCGGCGGGGGAGAGGCGACCAGGTCCTCTGTAATCCAGCACGTATTTGTAGACCGGCGCGTGGAGTGACGCGAGGCGCACCTCCTCCGACATGGGAACAACAAATACTCGGTCTCCTATAGCTGGAACGAACGGCAGAGTGTTAGTATGGCTGAGTGTGTCATTGCCGACGTAGAAGTCAATCACTTTGGCGATCTCCACGTTTGAGTCCGATCCACAGTCCAGTGGAATGGCCCCGGACTCGCTAATCAAGCCAGTTAGGATGCCCCATGTGATGGGATTTCCTGAAGACACACCTTCCGCCACTGATTTGTTTTGGAGAAAAAAACGAGCATACAGTGCTCCTTCCTCTTCCGCAATGCCATTCATCCATGGAACCAGGTTGAATTCCCCATTCTTGATGAGATATCGCGGATCTTTTGGCAGAAACGGCGATTCCGATTCGTGGTCCACCCGTGGATGAAAAGCGCCTCCTGCAGCCTTACTTTCTTTCTGGCCTCCATGAGATCCTCGGAGGGGGCGTTCCTTACGCACTCAACCATGATGGAGACATCGTCGGCAGAGCAGTTGAGCTGCTCTGCAAACTTATGAGTGAAATCCTTCGCCTTGCCGCCTGCTGCGAAACTCGTCAACGCGGTACCCGACTGGCTGATGGCGCGGTGGAACAGGCCTTTCGCCAGGGGGCTCAGCACCAAAAACGAGACACTGGCTCCTCCCGCTGACGTGCCGAAAACGGTCACCGTAGCGGGGTCTCCGCCTAATCTGGCGATATTATCCCGGACCCACTGCAGCAGCAGCACCTGGTCTAGCAAACCGTAGTTGCCGGGAGCGTTCTTATCGTGTGTCGTGAAGAATCCGAACGATCCAAGTCGGTAGTTGAAGGTCACCAGCACCACAGCCTCGTCCATGAAATAGTTCGGTCCGTATATCTCCTCGTCTCCGCTGCCCATCGTGAAGCCACCGGCGTGTATGAAAACCATGACTGGCAAACCTCCAACGGCTCTCTCCAGCGCCGGCAGCTGCGGCGTGTACACGTTGGCGAACAAGCAGTCCTCGTCGCCCTCCAGACTGTTGTTCTTAAAGGCGTTGTACTGCAGACACGTGCGGCCGTGCTTGAGGCCGTCCAGCACGTCCGCCCAGCCCGGGTGGCGTTGCGGCGGTTGAAAGCGGAGTGGCCCGAGCGGCGCGCGCGCGTACGGGATCCCCTTGAAGCCGAAGAAGAGGCCGCCGGCGGCGCTGCGCCGCGCCACGCCCCTGACGATGCCCTCTCGCGTGGCGACGAGCGGGCGGGACTGCACGTCGGGGTAGCCGGCCGCTGCGGTCAGCAGCAGCGTCAGACTCAGCAGCACCGCCGGCGCGCGCCGGAGCTGGTCGGCCATCTTCGCTGTGCGAGGGACAACAGTGCCGAGCGGGAGAGGGACGGGTGTGCTCACTCCCAGCGGGTCCGTGGCACTGACAAGGGCCGGCCGAAGTCTCGGATTAACTCCGTGGGCGGAGTAACTACAAATAAGGCAATAGACATGCAAGCTCTGCACTGAGGTCTGCCATGAACCGCAGGGGCGTGCAAATTGCACGACCTCATCTGTGTATGTTGGCGGCTCAGTTGCAAGATGGAAGGAATATGCGCTCGCGATATTATCTCATGGGAAGAGATCGGTGTTAATGTAGGACACTTCGGAGCGTGCGCTGCAGTCCACCTCCCAACGATGGTGTCCGTGCGCCATGCTTCATCCGCCTCTGCTTGCATTCGCCGCCGCCGACATGACAAGTGACCTTTTCTGGGCATGTGCCAGTCTTGCAGATGTACGCGTCTAGCACTGCCAAAGGCTTACGAGAGAGTGAAAAACCACTATCAGAGAGAAGCACGATCACCTTCAATTATGAGATAATCCGAAGTCTTAAGGAGATAACCGTATGCACTTACAGTTGCAGTGGCATCACACACATGTATCTGCCTTGACACCTTAATTAGGTGCAGTATGTTTGAACATCACATGCTTTACGGTCGTCATGTCTGAGCACGCGATCCTATGAATTTCATCGGCTACAGGGGCACGCGAGCAAGAGCATCACTTATACTTTGATAACGGTCTTAGCGTTGCAACTTATGCTTACAAGGCTTTTTCCAGATTTGTATGGGTTTTCAGCTGAAAGAGCAATCTTAAGATTATGTGGTGCGTTTCACAGTGCCGACTTTTTCAGGATGGTCAGATGCTGATATAATATGTTTCTAGCTTAGACAACCCAGATATCAAGGTGTAAAAAATTGTCATAGCTATATCGATTCAAGTATAAATGAATACTCTGCTTGCCTCACAGACAAAATCGTTTCCTCTGTTCAAGAGCTCATGTTCATGATTTGTGTCACCCCTTTTATGCGAGCCATTGGAGTTTAAATTATGCAGACTAGGATGATACGGTATCAAAAGTATCTGCGATTCTCACCAGCAACGCCACTAATGTTAATGATGTTCAAAAGTGGAAAAAATCCAACGGACACATTTCATTTTCTGAAAGATGCACTGAGTGGTCTTCTAACTCCTTAACTGTTTGTTGGATATTTTGGACAGCATGGACCGGTATCGTGATTTTAAGAAAAGTTAACAAGCTTTAAAAACTGTTTCAAAGCTACCTATTCTAGGTCATGTGCTTGTTTTGAATGTTGTTCGGCAACCAGCAGGCTCATGAACCAAGACTAGTAAGTGGATCGGGATTGTTGTACGATGTCATTTTTACATAACACTTAAATCTATGACGTGATTCTTTGACTTCCCTAAGTGGGCTGCTGTAAAGCATTCATGTGATGTACTGACGTTCACTATGTTTTACAGTTTCAGTGCATGTAAGGTATGTTATCATTATGCAAACGCAGTTGTTCGCACGATAACTTAGAGCTTCTGTATCTCATGTAAATGTATTTTGCTGTTACGTTTGTGGTCGCGATTGGACTGAAATGCTTTATCTAGCATGATATTTGTCATTATATTTTGTATTGCATTCCTCGCCTCTTTTACATGTGATGTCTTTAGCGTACATGTTGCTGCGCCGGCATTTTAACATCAGTGAAAGTTTTGCCTGGGTTGTGTGCCCGGTGTCAACGTTCGCTCAGCTCCCAGTCAACTATTCGTAAAAATTTGTGTTAGTCTTCTTGTGCTACTAATTTACATGTGAGAATGCTGAAAACATCGCTTTGTTTGTGCTATGCAGGGGTTTTGTGCTGTGCTGACCTTTCCTTGAAAACCTGGCTACTGGCAAACGTACAATCAGCATCTGCTGTCCTGGGACCCGTGGTGACACCCGTAGTTTTTAGGACTTGTACACGTGCCGTTTGCCCGCGCCCGCAATTTCCCCAGCTTGTAAACCCAACCTTCCCAGCTGGTATGAGTACTCGCCGGTCTGCGCAGCCCATGATGACCTTTAGCAATGACCCATGGTGTTGAAAGGCGGCTTGCAGATCAGCTTGCGGGCCACTGCTCGATTATTTGTGCTTAATGTTAATGGGTGAACATTGGAAATGGCAGTGCTTTAACGAAGATGAATTGTACTTCCACGTCGAATGAAATGGAGCGTTGTTTACCTCTGGCTGGGAGGCAAGTTCGCGTAATGCAAAATGTGCTTCGAACACTCATCTGTTTGGCCGCTTATTTTGCCGGTAATGCTTGAATTGCCTCTGAGCCTGGCTCAGAACAGGAGTTTTAATATTTTAATCGTTTTCCATTGCCCGATGTGTTGTGAGCACGCCCAGCCTTCACAAAGGCACAGCATGCCGCCCCTGCCGTGTCGCGCCGCGGCCTCGGCCGCGCGGTGGAACGCGACATATCGCCGCGGGCGCTTACCACCGTCGCGAGGCGGACCGTACGGGACGCATGATAGGTGCGTGTGTGTAAGCTGACTTATAAGTGGTAGCTCACCTGAACTAAATGTTATGTCGTGCCTGCCTGGTATAGCAGGGGCAGTACGCCACTGGACTCGGTCCATTACAGATCGCCGCGTCACTACACGTCTCTTTCTGACCGAGCTGAGCCGTACCGCTGGACGAAGACATCACACGATGTATGCAACTACATCTCTTCAAAAGGTTAAAATAGCTTAATTGTAACGCTTGCCGTCGCGTCTAATCTCATCGTGTGCATTTCACAGTTCTACTTTGTGCTATGCAAGGGTTGTAAGCTACAGCTGAGAATACTCTGAAATCTGTGATTACAAGCTTACGATGGGCGGGCTTCAGTATCCATCCTATGGTTTTTTTTAAGATCCGAATCCTAATTTTCAAGATCTCAATCCCCGTTTTCAGGATTCGGGGCTTTGCAAGACACGAAAATGTTTGAATCTTTTCGAAACATGCCGATCGGATAAATGTCGTCTGCAGTGCGACATCCGTGGCGTCGAGTGAACACCCTTGCAGCTGGCTCATATCGCACTCGCGCTCGTCTCCCAGTGTGACATCCGGGGCGTCGTGTGAACACCGGCGCAGCTGGCTCATATCGCACTCGCGCTCGTCTCGTTCGGGGTACATCTCATTGCTGTGATCAGAAGCCATAAGTTTGAGCAGTAATAATAGACGAAAAAAATGCGTTCCATTGCGGAAGTACTTGGCTCCTTAACAAACTGACTCGCCCTATTTCATAACGCCGACCGAAAGTATGGGGGTGGGGGGACTTACGCGACCATTCCATTGTTAATTCAAAACAAAGTTTTCAAACTAAGTTCTATGTTCTGAGTTTTACTAACTGCCTTACAAACAATTTGTACTCCAGCCTGTTTCTAGCTTTTCGCGAAAAAAGCTAGTAGTATGGTCTTAACGAGATCACGCTATAAAAACGTCATTGGAGATGGCATATACGTTGTCATGTATATGATAATTCACCACGATATTCCATGGAAAGAGCCCTTATTCCCAAATATCCCTCTATTTTACGTTTTGTATGGCAATATTTATTAACCCATGCCACGTGGCTATCATGAAACGCACACATGCACATGCACACACACATACACACACACACACACACACACACACACACACACACACACACACACACACACACACACACACACACACACACACACACACACGCGTGTTGCTTCTTTAATTGTGAGCGTATGGTTAAGTAGTTTTGTGTGGTCTGGGCATATATGTGTGATGTAGGCCTCCGTTAATGTAACAATGTCCAGTGTCCTAGAATTGCGGACTTTTGGTGTAAAGCAACACCCTATGAAAAGAAATTTTTCACTCTTTTTCCCCATATTTGATGGGAATTTTTCACTCCTGCCTGACATCGTCTAATCGCACATGCCAAACCCCTATGCAACGTTTTGAGGTTTTCAGACGTGATCCAAAGCCGAGCATCATTCCACCTCTTACTTGTTTCGCATTTTAATCTCGAAGGTTGGTGATCACGATTAATATTTATATTTAGGGGTGAGTCCAAGGCCCTCTGCCAGCAGACCATGCAAAAGGCACTGAATATTTTTTTGTTTTTTTTTGGGGGGGGGGCAGGAAGAAGCCGGTAAGTCTCCTGTGGACCAGGTAATTGCTTACCTGCTTTCAACACATGATTGGTAACGAGAGTTAGCCATTTTCTGTTTTAATGCATCGAGTTTTGACAAGACAAATTATGATGCCTCAAGACATGAACTTGGCTTATTTTGTTACATATTCTTGGTTATCTGCTCCAAACTTCTTAGAGTGGTCCCTCATGGCTGCTTTAACCAGATGTTTTCTGTAGTTGCCATGGTTTGCTGACTGGCAAATGACTGTACTGTATATATTCACTATATTTTTAACACAAGGATACTCCAAGCTGCATAGCAATTATAATATGAGTTAAGTATTGCTATGTCACAAATAGTCAAACCACCATATTTAAAATGTGAAGCCATCATCTCAAACTCTGTAATTAAATATGAATAAACAAGCCCAAATGGATGCATTTGCTGCAGCTGAAAAAGCAAGCAGCAATGCTGGCATGGTCATCTAGAAGTTATGTTATTTTTGGGGAAGAGAAATTGTTTTGTGGAGCATACCCATCATTGCCTGTGACACAGGCTAACCATGACAATCAAAATAAGTTGTTCAAAGTGATTTAAAGTGTTTTAATTTGCATGTTGTCAACATTGTCTGATGTCAACAAGCATGCAAAAATGAACTGAATTAAAATGTAAGTTGAAACCAGCCAAAAACTAGCTTTAAATATCATGATTTTATTACAAGTGCTGCTGTCAACAGATAGGTGAGTTGAGATGATGTTCATCACTTGGGCTACTCTAAGTTGGGTTAAGTTGGTCAAGTGCATGGCAAGTGGTAATAGGATTTGTGCAAGAATCAGTAACACACAACTGCTGCTGTGATACAAACAGGTTATACAGGATGAGATGATGTAAGCTGCCTCTTTAGGTTAGGCATAGGCTACTTTCATGGAAATAA